GTCGACTTCATCGTAGAGCTTCCCGAAGCCCATGGGTACGACGCGATCATGGTCGTCGTTGACACCCTCGGAAAGCGCGCCCACTTCTCAGAGTGTCATACGACGGTCGATGCAGTAGGGGCAGCCCGCCTCTACTACCGGAATGTCTGGCGGCACCATGGGACTCCGGAGAAGTACGTCTCCGACCGCGGCTCGCAGTTCATCGCGGACTTCACCTGAGAACTTTGGCGTCTAATCGGCATCAAGCCCGCCACGTCCACCGCGTACCACCCGCAGACAGACGGTCAGACAGAGCGCGTCAACCAGGAGCTGGAGCAGTACTTGCGGATCTTCACCAACTACCAGCAGGACGACTGGGATGAGCTGATTCCGGCCGCGGAGTTCGCCTACAACAACCACGTTCACTCCTCCACGCAGCAGGTCCCCTTCATGACGGACACGGGACGGCTCCCGCGCATGGGCTTCGAACCCGGAGTCCGTTCCGCCATGGAGTCAGTGAACGAGTTCCGCGACCGGATCGCCACTGGTGTTGCTGAAGCCAAGGCCGCGCTCACTAAGGCCAAAGAGGAGTACAAGCGCTACTACGACCGGAGACGGACTCCGTCTCCGGAGTTTAAGGTTGGCGACCGTGTTTGGCTGGATGCCTCTGACATCAGGACGACTCGCCCCTCGGAAAAGTTCTCCCATCGCCGCCTTGGACCGTTCAAGATAGTCGCGGAGATCAGCAAAGGTGCCTACAAGCTCGACCTCCCTCCGCGCTACTCGAAGCTCCACCCGGTCTTCCCCGTCGTCAAGCTCGAGCTCGCTCAGGACGACCCCTTCGACGGACGCCCCGGCTACGACCAGCCCCCTCCGGACCTCGAGGACGGAGTCCCGGAGTGGGAAGTAGAGGAAATCCTGGACGCAAGGGTGAGGTATAAGCGGCTGAACTACTTCGTCAGATGGAAAGGCTACGACGCATCGCACGACCAATGGGTCCGCTTCGACCGCGTCTTCGCCCCGGAGAAAATTGCGGAGTTCTATCGTAAGTACCCTGGCAAGCCACAACACATCGCCTCCGCGACCTTCGACTCGATTCCGTTCCGGTCTATGCGCCGGGACGCCGCATTCAAAGGGGGGTGATGTCAGGGGACCTCCCCTTCGGCCCCTCGGAGACGCCTCCGATTCCGGTCCGACTCCGGTTCCGTCTCCGGTCCGGCCCTCCATCTCGCCCGCACAATCACCGATCCGTCAACGCCCCCCGACGGTCGCCCTGGGACCTCGCCTGCGACGCCGCCCAAGCCTTCTGTGCCCAACAGCGGCAGCTACGGACAAGCAGTATATAGTCAGCTACCTAGCAGGCGGACCCTTAGAGTTTCTTCTCTTTGGATCCTCCCCTGCTAGGTCAGCTTCATTTGTATTCGCTTACCAATGTTCACGCTTTGGATCCTCCCCTGCTAGGACCTTGATCTCAGGCCTCCGGGGTTGCCCTTACAGACGACTCGTTCTCGGTCATGTGCTTCCCACGTGTGCATTCCTCCTACTGGGGCACCTGTTTCCTATCATCACATGCTGCGTGTTTCAGGCCTGCGGTGGCCCGACACCAGCGCCGGAGCGGACGGGCCGGGTCTTATCCATGACAATACCTGAGGATTGAACTCAGCATCTCTACTATGCCACAGTGACAATGACACATTTGACAGTCTGGGCGGGCATGTGATAGACTGACACAACTTAGTTGCAAACCATGATGTTGCTAGACATGCTGGCAGAGCTGCTGCAATAAGGATTGCTTGTCTACAGCTGGTTATTTATTGAATTTTCTCATATATGTAACATGTCCAATATTTGGATAGTCCACTATTTGGGCCTTGCATTTGGAGTTTGGGGTTAGAGCCATCCTATTTACCTTTACTGTTAGGAACCAAGTCAGGTCAGTCTGGACTCCGGGAGTGTCAAACCCTGGGTTCAAGAAACCTTTTTTCCGCACATTTCAAACCTTTTATTCTGGTGCTGGTTCATAAGATAAGACAAGGAGAAGATAAGATGGACGATGAGATGGTGATTAGATCATCAGATGTCAATGCTGATGTCAATTGAAAGCATGGAGTTGGACATGAGGCAGACAGCATGTAAAGATATGGCTAAAGTATGACATTATTGCCTCTCATATTAGGTATGATAAACATATAGTAGTAGTGTATATGCGTAGAGTAGATTTTGCCTTGTACCCCAGTCTTTGAATTGCATTATCCTTATAATATCTGAACCCAGCCAGACCCAGACCCCTTCAGGGGCCCCAGAGAGGGCAATAAGACAGAAAGGAGAAATACACATAAGGATCTATAGTCATTATCTACCTTCAATATCTTATATGGGAAAGCTGCATGAAAGGATGGGTAACATAGGATAGGTCCTAGTGGCAAATCATACAACATCATCATGATTTCCAGCTGAACCTGGGCAAGGCAATCTGTTTGCAATACACCGCTACGAATGTGTGGAGACGATAATGCAAACAACAATCGGTGGCCTCGAGGGCCATGTGTTATGCACTGCATGATCGAGGTGAGGCGAAGCTCAAGGCCTGTAACAAGTGTGGCCAACATCAACACATTATATGTGGTCCTTCTTTCCCCTCTTTCCCTCTTCCCCTTGCCCTTCTCCTTGCTGGTGCTTGTGTGAGGTGCTCTGTGCTAGCGCTGGCCTAGTGCGGGCTGTTCCCTTGTTTTGTCTGTGTCTTTTTTTGTTTGCTTTTTACTTACCTGCGTTGCAGTCCCGTAAATGTCCCCAGAACACCACATCCCGACTACTGGGCACATTGCCAGTGAATATCCCGAGGCCGGTGCCAGCGTGGCTATAAGAGCAATAGGTCTTGATAGCGTGTAGATTCACACTGCTGTCTCGTGTTTGTGCTGACAGCGGATGACAGGGCATTGAAGTGTGGGCAGGTTGGGGCTGCACATGCTGTGGTCAGTGATGCTGTAGGATGATATTGTAGACATGTTGTATTGTAGTTTTGTTTTCAATCTAATGTTTGTATCTAATATGATTGAAAGCAAGTAAGCAATGTTCGAAACAGCACTAAATTGCTGGAATTTACCTGGAAATTTATGGAAAATTTACTTGGATTTTCTGAAATTTCTGGGGGACTAAAGGAATCACAGAAATTCTGGAAATTAAAGAAATCAGTTAAAATTCCTGTTGATTTCTGGAAATTTCCCAAAATCCCATCAAATTTCTGTAGGAGGCTTTTTCTGATGCGGGTTCAGAAGATATTAGACTGTTTAAATAAATTGAAAAACAAATGAATGATAGCCTTTTTTATCCTGTGACAGTCAGCAAATTTGGAAGATTATATACTGTACCAGGTTTCAGTCATATATGCTAAGTTATCAATGCTGATTTAAACAAATTATTCTTTCTACTGGTATAACCTGAAAATCATGATTATCTCAATCATGATGATTGATATCATGATGATTGATATCATGATGATTGATATCAGCTAAAGGTAGGCTGGTGTGTCACTGTGGGTGCAGGGTGGAGCACTTGCTGATAGGGAGGAGGTGGCCAATTGCAAGCCCGTCAACACCTGGGTCACAGCATGATTGCCTGGCATTTAATGTGGAATGGATCCCTGGTCGATCCAGGGGGGTAAATTGGGGTAGTGATATGATGCACAAATATTTTGGTGCTGATGTCTGGAATTGGCCAGGTGCAGATGGGCTTTAGGCTTGGTATACACTATACTATAGTATTTTATCGCATCCTACTTGATGAGGGACTATATGGTATGATGGACCTATACAATAATAAATACAATCAGGCTGCAAACAGTATATTCCAGCAAGATTGATATGAAAGGAATTTGGTTTGCCAGCTGCTTACCTTTTGATCTAGCGTGACTAAACTGGAGTTTCCAGCCCAGTTGTCTATAAACATCTTGAAGACACGTGTTCAATGTATATATAAACCAAGCCCTAAAAAGAAGCTGACTTGTGGTGCTGTGCACCTAGTTACCACCAAAATGCAACAGCAGATATCGGTTCTCTAGCGCTGCTCTAGATAAGTACTCAATACTGTAGGTAAATAGGGCTTCCTAGGCTATATGCTATGCTTGAAGCTAAAAAAAATCGACAATCTGGGAATTATTGGCTTGACTGAGGCTCGAACTCAGGATTTCGTGGATAGTGCAGCCTATCAGGCTACTGGACATGCCAGAAAAGCTGCTGCAATAAGGACTGCTTGGTTAGAGCTGGTTATTCATTGAATTTTTTTTTTTCATATACGGTACTATTTTAATCAATTCATCCGACAGAGTTGACGAATTGGCCTGGGTGATGGCATTTGGGCCGGGGTGGCCAGCTTGTCCTGACAAAAACTTTCATCAATCACACAGCTGCAACGCGGCTGAGAAAAACATTCAATTTGTCAGGGGTGTGACGCCGCTAACCCCCTGACAAATTGATTAAAATACTACAATATATAACATCTGCAATATGTGGATATTCCACTGTTCGGGCCTTGCATTTGGAGTTTGGGGGCAGAGCCATGCTGTTTGCCTTTTACTTAAAACAGATCTAAGCTGGCCAAAGTACAAATTGAGTTCAAGGGACAATAGAGTGGAAATGGGTGGTAGAGACAGAGAGGCGGAAGAATATGCCAGTGTGAGAGGATGTGTGACCGTTGTCTACCTTCACTATCTCAGATGCATATGGACAAGCTGCATGAAAGGATGGGTAACAAAGGACTGGGCCCACTTGCAAATTGTACTATATAATTATGATTTCCGGATAAATCTGGTCGACCTGTTTGCAATACTGGTTCAGAGGATATTGGACCATCCATCTAAGAATTGAAAAACAAGTAAATGATAGTAAGCAAATACAAATGAGGCCATTGGATTTGGTGCGGGGCATGTCACCACCAAATTGTGTAATAGGGCAACAGATACTCTTTTGCCAGTGCTGCTTTGAATACTTGCTGCGGAGCTTTTGTGTACAGGGCAGCCTGAGGCCATGCTTATAACTGAAAACACAACGATCGATACATCATTGGCTTTCCCGAGGCTCGAACTCGGGATCTCGCGGACGGAGCAATTACAACCCATCACGACCGTGACCACTGCGTGTGAACGCCTCACACAACTTGGTTGCGAACCACCACCACCGATGTCGCTGCTGGACCTGCCGGCGGAGCTGCTGCACGAGATCGCGGGGTACCTGCCGGACCTGCACTCGACGTTCGAGGCGACGATCCTGGGCGACGTGCGGCCGGGGGAGTACGCCCGCGTGGACGCGCTGCGGGCGCTGGCGCAGAGCTGTCGGCGGCTGCGCGCGGAGCTGCTCCCGCTGCAGTGGCGCACGGCGCGCGCGTACTTCACGGCGCGGAACCTGCGCCGTAAGCCGAGGACGAGGGAGAAGATGCTCGAGCGCCGGATGGCGAGGCTAAGAAGGGCGGCGTATCTGCATCCGTTCGTGCAGTCGGTCATTCTCTATCTCGGGCTTCCTGTGGCTGAAGCGATTGCAGGACCCTGGCGGTCACACTGGACGAGTGCACGGAGGACAACTGGCACGGGCTCGTCGCGTTCGTGCGCGTGCTCGATGCGCTGCCCCGTCTCCAGTCCGTCGTCATCATCGCCCTCCCGCCGGACGCCGCGAAGCTGCTCGCCACCGCGCTGGAGGGGAAGTCGTTCCCCAATATCCGGCACCTGACGATGCCGGCGCACGGGCACGTCCTGCGCGTGCTGCGCGCCGTGCCCGGGCTGCGCGCGCTCACGCTCGGCGACGGCCTCTCGCTGATCCTGCGCCCGTCCGCGGCCGAGATCGCCGCCGCCTGCCCCGGCCTGCGTGCCCTCAACAACGTGTTCCCGGGCACCAACGCCGACGAGGCGCGCCAGCTGTTCGCGGCGCTCCACGCGCACTTCCCGCGCGTGGAGCGGATGATGCTCAACGGGCGGTTCGGCGCGGTGCGTCTCCTGCTCCCCATATCAATATTGGCTGACCTGCATGCAGGACGCGCTGCGCAGCCTGCGCCCCTTCGCCGCGCTGCGCGAGCTCGCCATCCGGTACCGCGGGCCCTCGGCGTGGGAGCGCGCCGAGGACGTCCCCACGCCCGGGGAGCTCCTCCGCGTGCTCCGTCTCACGTTTGCGGCCCGCGCCGGCGGCACGCTCCGCGCGACGGTCGAGGTGCTGCCGACGCCCACGGGCGAGTGGAACCCGGATGTGAACCTGGTCGAGCGCGTGCAGGTCGCGGAGATGTAGGGTATGGATTTCGATGGAACTTGCGTTATGAATATATATCCTTGCTAGCTCCAGTCTCTGGCCCGTCCAACCCGACCTGCGGAAGCGCGGGACACAAGTGTCCGAAGCTGACGTAAAAAAATATACGCACCGCCGCAAAGGAGGAAAGCGATGGTTCCACTGAGAGGCGCGAACTCAGGACCCCGCAGCGCAGAGCTGTGTCGCGGTCAATGGCAGGCTGCGGACCTCACGGGCCGCCCTGGTCGTGGGGGAAAGCGTGCAGGGCGCGGAGATGCAGGCATCCCAGTGTATTGATGGAACTTACGAATACTGTGTATGTCTTATCTCTGGCCAGTCGCAGGCTCGGACACGCCCGCCGGCCGGACCGGGTCCGCATCGGATACATGGCCCGCGGAAGCGAGGGACACAAGCGCCCGGGGGCCGAGGGCCGAGGCTGGCGTAAAAAGGCTGTGGCAAGCAGCAAAGGCAAGCGATGGCTCCACCGAAGATCGAACCCAGGACCGCGCAGGGAGAGCGGTGTCCGCGCGCCGGGCCGCAGGCCTATGGCCCTGATAGAGGTAAGTGATGGTTCTACTGAGGCGCGAACTCAGGACCGCGGGGTGCGCCACTGGCAGGCGGCCGACCACGCGTCCTGGGGAGCGTGCAGGGCGTGGAGATGTGGGCGTGGGCTGTGATAGCTACCGCAGTGGATATCTAATCGGCAAACACGACACGAACTGTCCGCCAAATCGTGGTGTAACTTGCGTTACAAGTATATTATATAAGTATGTCCCATTATCCACCTGCAATCAGCAGGGAGTATCTTAGTAAATGGAATCCTACTAGGCCTGAGCGCAAATCACGGACGCCCGGATCAGCGGAGAGCGTAATAATCAGGTGAAGGGAAGGCAAAAATGCAACGCAAATGACCGCAAAATGGTTCCACTGAGGCTCGAACTCAGGACCTCATGCGCTCGCCGCCGCGGAGCCGTATTGCAGACTCAAGCTGTGTGAAGCATGCGTGATAACCAACTACACCATGAAACCGTTGAGAATGGCACCGCCAGGAGGTCCACGGCCCGCCGAGGACCGCGACATGGTGTTGGAGGTGTGTGGTGGCACAGGTGGATCCGGCATGTATGTACCTGCCGACCTTGCCCGAAGCTTCTATTCGGTCATGTATCAACGTCCTCATGCCTGGGGCTTGTGAACAGCCTGTAGTCATCTGGGAATCATCACTGAACACCCACAAGACTGACCTGGTAGGGACTTGAGAAGAAGACGCTCTGCGGATCCACCTGTCAGGCTGCTAACCGATATTTTGAAGTGAGTAAGGTACTATAGTACTGTGCTGGTGCACCAAGAAATGATTCTTTCTCCCAGCAGTGTTGTAGGCTCTGTCTGAAGGCAACCATTACTATAAAACAAACTGCGGTACTGGGAGCTCACCCATACTCCTACCTAATACTATTGCTACTATAAAAACCACTACCCCTAATCTATAGGTAACTACGTCAAACATCTTTTCCCTAGTCTGAAAGCCAGTTTATCATATTACTCAGACTGTTGGCTCAGATGCCCTAACTACCCAGCATGACCTGAGCCTGATACTGGATAGGGCAAATACCAGATGTTTTGTCATTGAAACATGAATTCAATATACCCATTTTTATACATCTTTCTATAGAAAAGAAAGGGTTGTAGATAAGGGTTGAATTCTTATTATTATAAGATAAGGCTTCTTATGAGTGTCACGGATAAATACCTGTACTCTACCTGTGGGTAATTTAGGCTTCAAGACCAATACCTGCATTTGCAGCATCTGTGGGAAACGGGTACCTGTACTCATGGATACCGGTACCTGCACAGGTTATCCATGGGTATTTCTTATAAAATATCAGCATACTGAGGTATATTGACAATATAAGTGGCTTATATAGGACGTAGTTTCAAGTAATACACTGCTATAGACACTATAGGACATGAGAAGACTATAGTGACTGAAACTGTCAGGGGAACCTCCCTTTCGGCCCCTCGGAGACGATCCCGATTCCGGTCCGACTCCGGTTCCGACTCCGGTGATCGCATCACCGCCTCCGTCAGGCGCATCGCCGCCCCCGCCTGGCGATCCCCCTGGGACCTGGCCTGCGACATGGCGCAGGCATACTGCACGGAGCAACGATCAACCTTGGCGCGTCAAGAGCGCAGTATATAGTTCCGCTACCTAGCAGGCGGACCCTTAAAGTTTCTTCTCTTTGGATCCTCCCCTGCTAGGTCAGCCTCACTTGTATTTGCTTACTTCTATTCACTCTTTGGATCCTCCCCTGCTAGGACCTTGATCTCAGGCCTCCGGGGTTGCCCTTACAGCAGAAGAAACTCTCTACGGGATCAACCGGACAAGATTGCTAGGTTCGGCGCTGACTCAGGCTCGGAATACGAGTCCGTTCCGCCCTCGTCACCGCCCCTACCACTTGTCCCCTCCTCCTCTGTCACTCCTGTCGTCCCCGCACCTGTCATGCCTTCCGGAGCTACTCCTGACGCTGACACTCGGCTGGATGCACTCGAGGCGAAAATCGACCGCCTAACTGAGGCCCTTACTCTTCTCACCACCCAGGCTTCCGCTGCCGCTGCCGCCGCTAATACTGCTGGCGGACCCCAAACAACACCACCCCCGAGACGTCGATTCCGACTCCGACTCCGGTTCAGGGCGATTCCGAAGCCCTCTTTGGCGACATCAACCTCGCCTCAAAATTGGTCTTGCGACCAAACCCTCCGTTCACCTTCAACGGCGATCGGAAACGCGGCCGCGTTCCTTTACGCGGTCCGCACCTACGCCCGCCTTGCCCCTGAGGCCTTTGTGGTCAACGGAGAGGCGAGTGAGGAAAAGGCCGTCCGCTATGCCATGTCGTTTATGGCGGAAGGACCCGCTCAGCAATGGGCGGAGCGCCACGGAAGCAAAGCCCCGTTTCCGTTTCCGTCCTGGGGCTCGTTCGTTTCCGAGTTTCGACTCCGGTTCGTCGAGGAGAACGAGCAAGATCATGCTCTCTCCAAACTGGAGACTTCCGCCTATCACATGGGCACAAAGGATGTCTACCAGTACACCGACGACTTCGAGGACCTGATGGACCTCGCCGGATTCGAAGACGCGTTGGTCAAGGTGACCAAGTTCCGCCACGGACTTGATCCCCTGATCAACAACGGAATCACGTCCTCGAATGACCCCCGGACCTCCGGGACTATCTTAGCTGGCGCACCCGGGCCTTCCGTCAATACGAGGCCCTGGTCCGGGCCAAGCTGATCAAGTCAGCCGCCCCCAAGACGCCTGGCGGTTTGATTCGGACTCCGTTTCCGGTCAACCGCATCCCGGCTCCGGCTCCCTTCCGCCCGGTGGCTCCGGTCGTGCCACCCGCGGCCCGCGCCCCCCTCCGGCGCCTCCAGCTCCCGTCCCCATGGAGTTGGATCGCACTAGGGCTCGGGGTGCCCCTCGTCGCGCCTGCTTCAGGTGCGGCGACCCAAACCATCTCGCCCGGGATTGCCCCCTCCCCGGATGTCCGCTCAATGGACATCCTCGACGAGGTGATCCAACAACTCGGTGACGAGATGTTAGCGGAGTTGATCGCCCGCTACTCGGACACAGCTGCGCTGCCGGAGACAGCTGCGGAGTCGATGGCCGGAGAGGATTTTGTCCCCGCGACGAGTGACTGGTGTGCCCTCGTTCGCGTCCATAAATCGCTTTCGCTTGTTTGTATGACGAATCAATTCCTTTGCCCTACAACGAGCCTGAAACGAAAGACATACCCTCCCCTGCCCCCATTTCGACTCCGTCTCCGACTCCGCCCGCGACTCCGGTTGTCGTCCTTCGCCGCCTCACTGCCTGGGAAAAGAAATTGCCCAAGCAGTACACTGTCGCTGCCTCCCCCGGAGTAAACTCCCTCCACCTCCCGTTGGAGCTAGAGTCCACCACCAGTGCGTTGAAGCTCTCCCTTTCTGGGCTTGTTGACTGTGGTGCCACCTCCGACTTCATCGACACGAACTACGCCGCCGGAATGGCATTCCGGTCCGCACCCTGGCGCAGCCGATTCCGGTCTTCAACGTCGATGGCACTCCGAATGATGCTGGCTCCATCAACCAGATCGCGGACTTGGTCCTACGCTACAAAGGCCATTCCGAGCGCGTTCAACTCGCCGTCACCCATCTCGGTAAACAAGACCTCATCCTGGGGTACTCTTGGCTGCGGAAGCATAACCCAGAGATCGATTGGGAAACCAAGGAGGTCAAGATGACGCGGTGCCCCCTGGCTGCTCCACTTGCCGCGAGGAAGAACGCGTTGAACGGACTGAGCTACGGCGACTCCGGCTGCTCCGAGCAGGACTCCGCTCCGGCCCGTTCCCCTCGGTCTGCGCCATGGACCTTTCTGGGTCTGATGACGGAGACGATTCCGTCTCCGGCGACGACTCCGGCCTGCCTGATCTGACGCCGGACTCTGACGACGACGATGACGATGGTCAGCTTGAAGATGGTGACCGCATCTTCTACACCTCGTTCCGTCCCTCGGAGGAGATACGCGCTGGCAGTACTGTCTCGCAGCGCCTGGCTGAAGCCTTCGCCAGGAACTCCGCTCCCCCCGCCTCCGAGATCCCGGACTGGGCTAAAGAGTTCCAGGACGTCTTCAACAAGGAGTCTTTCGACACGCTCCCGAACGGAGAACCTGGGACCACGCCATCGAACTCGTCCCCGACGCTAAGCCGGCCAACTGCAAGGTGTACCCCATCTCGCCCCTTGAGCAACGCGAGCTCGACGCGTTCATCGAGGAAGGGCTGTCGACGGGCCGGATTCGCCCTCCAAGTCTCCGATGGCGTCTCCGGTCTTCTTCGTCAAGAAGAAGGACGGCGGACTCCGCTTTGTCCAGGACTATCGGGCCCTCAACGCGATGACCGTCAAAAACCGGTACCCCCTTCCGCTGATCAACGACCTCATCAACCGGCTCAAAGGCGCTCGTTACTTCACCAAACTCGACGTTC